GGCCGCCTGCCCGGCCAGGACCCCTCCGCAGCGGCCAGCGGGCAGGGGCCAGTGCTCCTGCACAGGGTCAGGGGTCCGTGTCTCCCGCTGGGACTCTCCCTGGCAGGGAGGGGACCGCGGGTGGCGGGGGGTGGTGTCACATGCCCCGTGACCCCCGGGGCCAGCTCTCTGGGTGCCGTCTCCCTGCCGCCAGCAGCGCAGACCCCGGCCCGCTGCTGGGCTCTGACGCTGGGCAAACGCCTTTCAGAGTGGACCTGTGGAACGCCAGTAACCTGAAATTTGGAGACGAGTTTCTGGGAGAACTGCGGGTCCCGCTGAAGGTGCTGGGGCAGTCCAGCTCCTACGAGGCCTGGTGAGGGCGGCACTCAGTGCGGGGTGCTGCCACGTGGGGGTGCCCAGCGGTCCTGGGGCTGGCTCAGCCACACCCCGCCCCGGAGTGCGAGGTCTGGACCCCCGCCGGCCGCAGCCGAGCTGCCCGGCCCGTGGCTCCGGCTTGGCACTGGGAACGAGGAGCCACAGGCGCGGCTGCCCAGAGCAGACCCGGCCGCATCCCGGCTCCTTCCCTGTGCTCTGGAGGGGCCTGGAGATGCCTCTTGCTGCCCACCAGGTCCTGAGCTGGCGGGTCAGGGGAGGAGACAGCCACAGCCTCCACAGCAGGGCCCCCACACAGGCCAGCACCTCCCAAATTCAGCGCCGGCAGCAGCCAGCCCCTGCTGCTGCTGGGCCTGGCCTGGCCCCACCCTCGCCCCGCCCCGCCTCCCGGACACTGCCCACGCCCAGGCCTGGCCTCTGCGGGGCTGAGGCGCGGGCGCCGCCGCCTGCCTGCAGGGCACAGCCCGCCGCGAGCCGTCCTGCCTCCCGCTGTCCCCGCCAGGTACTTCCTCCAGCCCCGAGACAGCGGCGGCAAGAACCTGAAGCCTGGGGACCTGGGGTCTCTGCGCCTCAACGTGGTGTACACGGAGGACCACGTCTTCACCTCGGACTACTACAGGGGCCTGCGGGGCCTGCTGCTGAAGTCCGCGGACGTGGAGGTGCCGCTCTGGCTGGCCGCGCCTGTGGTCCGCCCCGTTCCCAGCCGTGGGCCCCACCCGGCCAGTTCCCTGC